AGAAGAAAAAAGTCCTAAGTTTCAACATATCCACGATTTTCCTGAATTTAGCAAGGAAGATTTTTTTTCTCTCTTGTGGAAGTTGGTGGGTAAGTGGATGGGTAGGTTAGCGAGAGGGAGGGTGAGAGGGGAAAGGGGAGGAAGGATAGAGAACCCCCATCTACTTCCCCCCCTAATACCCCCCCCCCCTCCTCCTCCATTCCCTCTTCATTCGTTCCCCTTGACGTGAGTAAGAGATTTAGTATGAAAATACCCCCCTCAGTCCGTCTGAATACCCAATTGACTGATCAGCATGATTGCCAATATGATTCTCTGATCGCCTACAACTGAAAGACGAAAATATCCCTCTCGTGCGTCGATGCCAAGGGCCAATATACCACCTGGATACAGTGTCATATCCCCCCAAAGGGCGATCATAACATATATTTCCCGAGTGGAATATAGACAATCAGCTTTATTTCATAGTCGGAACACCAAAGGGGGAGCTGGCGGTCGTAATTTCTCCTTATATTTCTGCAGTCGTTGCGGCCTCGTTTCACTGTAAATCAGAGCTGCATTGAGAGAGCCGCGCACTGAGCTTACGTAAAGCGTATATTGAAAATGAATACATACATGTATGTATCTATCAACGATCTATCTATCTATATCTGTCTATGTGTCTATAGTTTATCTATCTATATCTAACTATCCATCTATCTATCTATGTATCTCTCTCTCCCTCTCTCTCTTTACACACACACATACACACAAACATATCACATGGATAGTTTTCCCAAACGGTATTTGTCGCCCCTCGCCTCCCTGGCCGAGCGGGTAAGGGCGCCAGGTTCGAATCCGCGATCGCGAGCCCGCAACAGGGAGCCACAAATGCTCCCTCTGATTGCGACCTCGCCCGGGGCTGAAAGACATGGAAAGCGCCCGGGCGGAACAAAGCAAGCTGCCCAGGTCGCAATCAGTTTTTCCCTGCTATCTATTTGCGCGTGTTTGTGTGTCCATCCGAGGCTGAACTATGTGCAACTGGTTAGTAAAAAGAAGAATCCTTGTGTAGGACGTCAGAACAAGCCCTCACTCGGCGGATTCGCTTATGCTAAATCTAGTTTATTCTGAAGAGAACTTTCTGCGAGGATTATAGTCTGAAAATGGTCCATAATTACATGGTTCGTCAGCTACCTTTACCCATGCAAGAAATCCGATAACGGATAGGGTACTTGTCTGTATTTATTATTTAAATTACATGACAATTATTTTGATTCTATGTTTCAAAATCAGACTGGCAATTCAATTTGATATCTTTTATCATTATCATTATAGTGCTTATAGCAATCATCATTCATTATTATCATTATAATTATCGACATCCATCATTTTCGTTGTCATTTAACAATCATCGGATCATATCATGCACACACAAACACACACACACACTCACATGCATACAGGCACTCACTTACTAACTCGCACACATATTCAAACACACAGATATGCGCACAAAATATAAAAACCCGGTTTCACACACAGACACATACGCTTGTACTCACATACACACGCGCGCACTAGCGGTAAAAAAATATGTTGCATAATGCTTCCTTCGAATTTAGATCATTGCCTCTAGTCATCGTGGTTTAGTGGGTTAGGGCGTCAAGTTCGAATCCGCGATCACGAGTTCGAATCTGCAACAGGGAGCAAAAATGTTTCGGGGCTGAAAGACATGGAAAGCGCCCGGGCGGAACAAAGCAAGCTGCCCAGGTCGCAATCAGTTTTTCCCTGCTATCCATTTGTGTGTGTTTGTGTGTCTTTCATTTCTGACTGAATAAGGTGTAATGGAAAGGTAGGAAAAAAATCTCGTGTAGGACGTCAAAATCAGCCCTCATTCTGGAATTTTGTTGCTAAAAAGGCTTATTTTGGAGAGAAATACTTTTAAGAATTATAGTCTTAACCAACTGTTGAGGAGAGAAAATGATCTATAATTAGATGACACGTCAGCTACTTCTACCGTTGTAAGAATTGCGATTTCTGCAGATTTTTGATAGAGTAACTGTTTGTGCTTATATTCTAAATCAACATTTTCTATTTTGTGGCCCTGTTCGGTGTTTATTATCTTTTCAAATATAATGATTGCTACTTATGAATAATTGTAATGGTTCTAACAGTTATAGGACAAGAAAACTGCATGGAAAGATCCGAATTTACTGATATATGAGAGATAATTATCGGTAGATAGTGTAGGTGAGACAAAAAATCATTTCAATGTTACATATACATACATACATACATACATACATACATACATACATATATATATATATATATATATATATATATATATATATATATATATATATATATATATATATATATATATATATATATATGTATTGTATGTATACATATACGCATATATATACATATATATATCTATGTATGTACACACACACACATAGATATAAATATAGATATCTATGTATGCATGGATATATGCACTTAAGTATGTATATATGTA